TCATGATCGCGAAGTCATTCGCCGATCGAGTCACTCGCCGATAGATAACTGCGGCTTGTTTATCCGACATCAAGAATATAAATCACAAGTAACCAGCTACAAATACAGGCTATGCAGCCATTCACTAGAGCAATCGAGGCGGCAGTATAGCTTCTTTCCTCATTCAGCAAAACCAGCTTGTGGCTTCAAACAACTTCATAACAAGCGACCGAGGTAATAGTTTTTTTCCGTTGTTCTTACTTTTGTAACTGCACCGAAAATCCAAATTCACAGTAATTTCGACGGCTGTCACTTAAAAATTATTTTCCTTCACACTATCTGCCAAGTTTTTTTCAGCTGTCCTGCTGTTTAAAATCCTAGAATCCGCATGAGTTTTTAAAAAATTAATGTTCATTGCTGCAATGTTTTGATTTTTCATTAATGCAGTCCAGGCATGTCCGTTCGCGCGTTGACAGTTTTGATAGACGTGTGACATGTGAATAGCGGAAGTCCCTTGTCTTCTTCGGTTTGTTCTAGTAGGGGAGATTCAACGAGTTTTTGTGGGCGTTTTTAATAAAACAATTATTCCACTCGCCCTTGTTGCATATGAGATGATTATAGTCAACTCGGCACTACGCGCCTCGTTGGCTCTCTACCATCTCATATCCAACGCGCCCTCGTGGAATAATTGTTAAATTTACTCGGGAAAGGGTTGACTCAAGAAATTAATGGAGATGGAGGCTCCATTTGATGGGCTTCTGCGTTTACACTATTTTGAGGCAAACGGGTGGAGAGGGTAACTGCTGATAACTTCCCAGTTGTGCTGATATTTAAAAAAAAAAGACGTATAAAGAGCAGTTGTCATGTTATCATTTGTTGCTTATTTTGAAACCTTGTTGCAACTATCATTGCATTTGTGCCAGTTCACGTGTACACTCTGAAATTTGGGGAAAAATAACTTTTTTTCATTTTTCTAAAAAATGCCTATTCAGCGTTTTTCTCCATATTGAAGCGCAGTTATCTCTGAAAAATGCGTGGTTACTCCCAGGTTTCTTTTTGGATTTCAATAGCCCCTGATATGATCTACTTGTCTCACATAGTCATTATCTGGGAAAAAAATACTTCCTATTAGTGGGAACCGTCCTTAAGTCTGCGTACTTTGATTTGTAATACTTTCATAGAAGGTCAATTAAATTTCCTGCTCAATAACTTTCTTGTTGTTGGAATGATTTACTCCCATTTTAAAGTCATTATTCCTTCTGTACAATATTTTGGGTCAGCAGCTTCCAATTCACGGTCGCGTGCATCGAAAACTTCGCGTCTAAAGTTGAAGCGTGAGGTCCCTCGGACGGAAAAAAGGTTCAAGATTGCGCTTATGTTTTCGGGTCGTCGCCGACGTTCCAGAAAGGAATAGATTTATGAAAGCAGATGTCAAGTAAGAGATCGTTTACATGTATTCGCGGGATTTTTTTTTCCCCTTAAACCCTTCCGCGACTACAGGTTATGCTCGGTCTACATTTTGCATCCAGCCTGCGTTTTACTCTCAGTTTGCAGTCTGCATTTTACAGTCAGTCTGCATTTTACCCCTGGTTTTCAGTCTGCAGTCCGCAGTCCGCAGTCCGCAGTCCGCAGTCCGCAGTCGGCAGTCGGCAGTCGACAGTCTACGTGTTACACTGACCGGATTTGAAATACTGGTTGCGGCAACGACTGACGGATTCATTTGCCAATTAAACCGATTCATTTAATGGAATCTATGCGGGTACGCTTGACCTGGCGTGTCTGTAGAATAATATAAGACAGCAAAAACTCCAGAGGGGTTGCAACGTTAACCACACCTCCTTGTACCACGGGTGTACGTCCGAGGGTTAAAGACTGAGGTGAATTTATTTCTTCTTTAAGAAATTAGCTAGTGAAACATTAGTACGTGTATACTGAGGACAGGAAAGAATGTTGATCAATAAAGGAGCGTAAGGTGTGGGAGAACAGAGATCTAGGTGTTCAGGAAGCACATGTGACCAGTCGTTATCATAGGACGGCAAGAGTATCGTCTACAGAGGCAGGGTACTGTTTTGCTACGTATTTCTTCACCATTGTTATATCCATCCTATATAGCAGCATGTCATAACATCGAACTTTAAACTGATGTTCAACCGAAAGAGTGTAGAGCGAATACATATTTTTCAGGCTACTCTTAGCGAATTAGTTTTTAGTCATTTTGTTGAAAGTAGTCAAGTACTTCTTGGACGACCTCATTTAGAAAGCACATTTTTCTCACTTTCCCTCGGAGAAAGTCAATTTTAAAATATTATTGTGAAATCGTTAAGAAATACTGCACTACAGCAAAATCCCGAATGAAAGATTGTAGGTGTTCCTAGTCAGCCTAAGGCTAAAATCATGTCAAATTTTGACTTTTTAAATCAATATTAGTTATATTGTTTGTTTATATTACCAGCTTTCTTAAAAATGCGCACCTCACCTTGACTTCTATACATCAACTTTGATATCTAACCTGAAAGGTACTGAACTTACTTATATACTTTTTAATTATTATATTTTATTTTGATTGAATACTTATGAAAGACTCCCTTCGTATTTGAACACACCATTTTGATTTTCCGTAAATAACATCGTGAGCTGGAATCCCATGTATTGTTTGGAATCATCAGAGTGGAATGTTATTAATGCGTAGTTTCCAGTTACCAAAACTACCTTTCCACTAAGTTTGATCCCACAATATGTACCAAATGCTCTGTTGTCATCATCTACAATCGTCAAATAATCATACCTAGAAGGGAAAAAAATATGTTTTTTACTTTTCAAGGGCAGTTGAATTCTTAGAAATAACCCTAACCGCTAAAAGAACATAAAAGCCTTTTATGTTCTCGCTCCTGCCTCAACTAATTGAGAGTCGTGCATTATGGTGGAGTTGAGGGCTCACCAAACGTTTCTGTGGAATATCAAGCCGCCCGTCAAATTCTTTCTTGTTATGTTGCACTTGCGTCACTACCGAGTAATCGAATTGCCGCCGTCTACAAATGCCAATTAACGTCCAACAAGAGGCTTTTATGTCCTCTTGCTTTCGACCTACTTACAGATGCCAAAGGCCTGTAAAAGGGGTTTCAATCATCTCAGCTCACATAAAAGCCTTGAGACGTGAAATCTTAATTTGGATTTTAAAAAATCTATGGCATTTTCCAGATCGAAAACCATATCATTGGTCAGATCTCGGTTTAGCCACTGAGAAGTCTCTACACCTTTTGAGTCTATCTACAAGCACCAGCAAAGAACATTCGATTTTGTAAATAATAGTTTGAATTTTGTTTAGGCTGCGAAACAGCTAGCCTTCGAACCGCAGACGTATTTCCGGTCGTCGCTTCTCTCCCTCCGAAAAATACGACCGGAAATATGTCTGCTGTTCACAGGCTACGAAACAGCCGACTCCCATCGCTCTCTGCCGCTAGGAACATTTCGAGAGAGCGCCGTCTGTGCCGAAACAACAGAAATACCATAAAAGCTGTCACCTGGTCAATGACTACTGAATGCACCGTTTAGGCAGTATTTTAGGAGAAGAAAGAATCGAAGAAATCGTAGAAGTAATATTTTTTTTCGGAAGTATTCTTTCACAAGATATCATGGTTTCTATGTTGCTCTACTCCATTTTCTTTTATCCGAGAGCAAACGACACAGTTTGGAAACCCATTTGGGGGTGGTTTGGCTCCACTTGATCTATCAGTGCGGGAAGGGGATCGCTAAAATCTTGCTATGGGGTTAAATTGTGCTTAATGTTGGCAGAAAACGCTGTGTTATGTCAAAGGAATTATGATGGCTTTTTGTGTTATTTCTTTTATCTAATAATTACTATTTCTTGCGAAATCAACATTCAAAGTTTTGTTAACTTTCAGCCTTGAATTAAGCCGGGCAACGGGAGCGTTGGATGGGATGAACCAAAACTGTCTCAAAACTCGAGAGTTTTAAAAATACAATCTAGTGGATTGGGGCCGTTAAGCGCAGGTACATGAAAGTCTTTTAACGCACAAGAAATGAGCGAAATCTATTTTTCACGCCATATTGACCAGACCGCTAATTTACTGGCAGATACTCTTTAATTCGTAAAAGAATTTTGAAGTATCAGTGTGTTTTACCTTCTTCTTCGTCAGTTATCAGTTTCTAAAACCAGGTCTATCTTTATTTTGAAATGAGAGGGCTATTCTCATTGGCCGGTGTTTTTCCCGGTGGGATATACTCAACTGCCAGCCTGGGTTTTTAGAAGCCTGATTTTGCCTTATTTCTAGCCCAGTTTTATCCATAAAAATTGCTTGAGCTGTTTTTTTACCTGCTATTTTTTTATTTTGAGATATTCTCAACTTTAATCTTACGCTTGCCGTTTGCCGTAAAGGTGACTCTAAATCTCTCTATTGCTAAATTCCTTACCTGCATATTTCATATTTATCACCTGACTCCAGGCTAAAAATTAGAAAATTGATGTTCAGCGCCTTTCCGCGTGGAATGGAAACATTGTACACACAGTGCATGTTATTTGGGTATTTTCTTGGAAATTCAGGACTTCTCAAGATGTTGTTTACCACAGAACCACATCCTACAAAATCATATTGTAATTTTACACGTCAACTTGTGTTCTCTTAATCAACAGAGAACTTGTGTGGCCCTCAATGTTCTTTTTTCTACGTTCTTTGCGTTTTTAAAAGTTTTAGATGACATAATAAACTAATTAAAACGAATTTCCTAAATCCCACTATTTTCCCACTGGTTTAAGAATGCAATGTCGTAAACTTACAGGGTATTACCTGAAATAAAATCTGACTTAGGGTGATTGAGTTTTTGATTACGATAGGCGGATCACGAAAATTGCCAAAAAAAACAACTTAAACAAGAAAAGTTGCCAGATGTTTGGTAGTTAAACACTAGTTTCTGCTTTCTCCATGTCAGCTGATTAGGTGGACGGACAGGAGAAAATAGGGGCGTAGTCATGATATTCAGCGCGATAAAAATACATGCGAACCCCCATAAGAGAGCACAAAAAATGCCGCTTAAGGTGAAGATGTCCGAACACAACTTTTTTCATGGAAGATAAGTTATTGCAAGTGTGTAGTTCCATATTTTGCTAAAGTTCTCCGTATAATCCTATTACCATAGTACACACTGCCAAAATAGAGATCAGACTGTGCTTGAAGGACCATGAAGTGGTCGCTTGCAAGAGGTTAAAACCAATGGAAATCATTAAACCGTCAGACCCAAACAGTGTGGTCGCCGTCGCGCACAGGAGGTGGTCGTTTACTAGAGGTACCAAATGTAAGGCTCTCACTGGGAAAGTTTTTGCAGGTGGTCGCTTACGAAAGGTAGTCACGCACGGAGGTTCGACTGTACAATATACTCACTTGGATCATTAGCGTTTTGAGCTGAACTGTAACACAACATCAGCGATAGCACAGATAGAAACTTCATCCTCCTGTTTAAGTAAAACGTACTGTTAACGTGTTGTCCAGAAGTGCGGGGGGTGGGGGTGGGGGGGGGGGGGGGGGGGGGGGGGGGGGGGGTAACGGTGTAAGTAGAATCACCGAGTTTCCTTGTTGAGGAAAAAATAATTAACTCTTCTTTCCCTTCTTTTAAAAACTTCGAGGAAAACAATACTCTCCGATGGAGTGCCAAAGATATAAATAAGATAAAATTACCGCTTTCAACAACAGGAGGAAATATCGACCTGGTTATATTAATCACAATCTGTAAGCCCCAAATGGAGAGAAAACACAAGTGACAAAGTCAAAAGTCAAGGTTCGCTTTGTTACGTGCTACTTTCGCTTGGTTTGCGGGAAACTAGCGTGCGACTGATTTACTTCGATTTAACAAAGCGCAGTGGCAAAAGTGCCGAGCAGTGAGCACAGACGCATTGCAATTGCTTGTCGAAACTTATATGCAAATATCCGGCATAGCACACTTTCCACCCGGATGAACCATTTCCATTTGGTATTCCCTTTCCCCCGCTTTTACAGAAACGAACGAAAATTTCTGAACCATTTGTGTGGATAACCGGTGCCAGGCTTCCCTCTAAGTAGAAAATGGAAAATTTAGTTAGTGACATTTTGTGGTTGGTACAACTCAATCCCGTTACTTTTTCTCGTACCAAAAAGACTACCATTTGAGTTTGACGGAAAAATTTTCACCGAGATCTCCGTATTTCCGTATGCGTTCTAGCCAACCGCTGTTTTCCTTTTGACTAAGTGGGTAAAAATAATGTTCGAACAATTTTTAAATTTTCGCGTTTTATAGACATCACTATTCATTCCCTCAAGTCATTAAACGTCTGAAAGGCGGACAGCAAATAGTTATGAATTTAGATAATTTTCTTTTCAAATGATCCCCTGGCTACATTTAATGATACCTCTAATTGGTGCGAAGATCACGGCATATGCCATCAGTTGCACTATACACGAAGTCACTTAATTCAGTTTAAAAGGAAACTATTGTAATAGAAATAGTCGCACAAAAAGGAATTGCTTCGGTCCATGATTATTAATTTTAAAGAAAACAAGAAAGAATAGGCGATGAATAAAATTACAACCTTTTTAATTTAGTAATGGTATCCCTGGCAACGTGTATTCCTAAAATGACATACAAAAAGTGGCAAAAAGACCAATTATGAAATAACAGTCAGTCCGCTAGAAATAAACATCTGCATCTGTTTCGGGTCACATGTATTGCCGCGTGTTCACTTCCGTTTTAATTGTGCTGGTTTTCGCTGCGTTTTCACCCGTTCTTTTCATCTCGGTCTTCAGCTTTTCCTTTTTGATAATGCTTGATGTGGTGCAATTTTACCCCTGGTTTGACTTTTTTTTGTCCTTTTATTCGCAATTCATTGCCTTATAATTCTGAGCAAGATTCTGAGAGCTGATTGGCTAACTAAAGTGCATTAATGGCGTGGAACGCACCATTTTCAGTTTTTTTTTTTCACGCATTGATGACATCTTTTCCCTTCAGCGATGTTCTATAAAAATAGTCAGAGTTTTTTAACTTTAAATTAATTTACAATGTGATTAAATTTTCATTTGAAATCTTAATATTCAGTTTTGCTTATGTTGCTATTTGAAAATGAAATATATTTCTAAACTTTTTGCAGCTGGGACCGTTGTTGTTCAAATAGAAATCGTCGCTTTTGCAATGCAGAGCACTCAGCTTAGTTTGAATATTCAAAGATTTAGACACACCTTGTTCTTGCTCTCTTCTCGGGATGCAAAAAAGACCAGACACGGGAGATCGGCGGAAATAAAGCCGAATGAATGAAGCCACAAGATGAGTGTACAAAGACGGAAATCTTTATGTTATACTGCGCCTAGCTATAGTTCGGTATTTGAACTTCTCTTTTTCTTTACAGCCAGCCTGTCCGTGTTTTGGCCGGTAAGGCACTGACTCGGATAAAGGCGGATTTCCACTGTCGCATAATTTTTACGTGCGTACGCACTTAAATTTTACGCGCGTAAATAAAATAGAGACAATGTATGGAAGGACACGCGTAAACGTAAAAGTTGAACCTCGCTCAACTTTCACGTTTTACTCGTGGCCTTTCATATATTACCTCTATATCATTTACGCGCGTAAATTTTACGTGAATTTGCACGGAAAAATTTCGCAACAGTCTTAACCCTTAACTAAGTACAACATTCAAAAACAGAGAATAAATTAAATTGAAACCGAGGATATAGAATTGAACAACTACATGTGCATATTTCCACTTTCCGGAGAAGTCCGCGAGCGAGACTCTTCTGTATATTTGCTCGTAAAGGATCTTTACCCGGGCCGGAGCGCAGTACTGAAGAACACGGCATTGACACTACAATCAGGTTGAGGTCTACTGTTTATAAGTAACATAACTCGGTATAACTTATTCCCCTTTGTGGAATTTTCTTTTTATATAAAGGCCATATGCCTATTGTACGTTGCTTTTAAAGTTTTGCATAAACCATTGGCATTAAACTGTACTACAATCATGAGCTCTGATCAATTTTTATCGGCAGCAACTCTTCCTTTCTTCTTCCTCAGTCTTATAATTAATGCCAGATGGACATTCATGAAATAAAAAAGACAACACAAAAAAAGAAAGAAAAAGTAAAGTAAGTTAAGGATATTCCTTTCGTTTCATGGAAAGTAGTTTTTAAGTCTCAAATACCTGAAAGATCATACAGCATTAGGAATGTTGATCCTGAGTTTTAGCCGTAGGGAAAGCTTGAAGCTGAAGGAAAAATTCTGTTTTATCAACAGGAACTTTAAAACGTTTCCAGCTGCTGTTTATAACAACTTTGAAAGCTAAAAGCGTTTGACTGAAACGAGCATTAAGTAAAGCGTCAAGTAAATTTGGAAATTGTAGGAAATTCACCATATTGAAATGGATCGATAATTCCTCAGCAGGTTTTTACAGCGTTATAGACTGAAGCTATTTATTATTTTTGTATCCCTTTTGAAAGGGCAAAAATATAAAAAAACGTTTTGAAAAAGAAGAAAATACCATTTTACCCTCTGTAGAAAAGCATGAAATTTTACCAAAAGATTTCATGCAGATAAATTTCGCATAATTTATGCATGCATTTTAAGAAAAATAAAAATTTATGTATATTTTTGCAATAATATTGTGTTTTTCGAAGGAAAAAACTAATAAAAGCGGTTTCCTCTGACATCGCAGAGACCGACAATATGCCTCAAATAATGAACGAAGCATAATTTACTATAAATTTATTTTTATAGCGCCACCAGCTTCGATTCAGATTAACTTAAAAACTTTATCGTCAATTTGTGGTTCAACTCCCAATATTTACTTAATTCTAACGCATTGATGGGCTCCTGGTGAGACGCAAGAATTGATGACGACCAGGATGTATTCAAACTTATTCGGGGGCAGCGGGTGAGGTGAGAGTAGTTTATCAAATTTTTACACTGGACCCATGTTCATAAAAAATGACGCCTCTTCCGGTACTACTAGGTGCTGATCTAAGGCCAGTTGCATAGATATAACAAATGCACAGTTACAGTCTCAACTTATGCAGTTGCGAAAAAAAAAGCCTGAAAAAAATCGGGGGCTTGCCCAGATTAACCCTGACTGCGACACCGAGGCAGGGCTCTAAGCAATTTGCGTCGGCAAGCCATGCCACGTAACTGGAAGCTGATCATTAAATTTGTTCGTATTATACCCGGGAAAGATGAAGATGAAATGACAAATACATGAATTTCCTATATTGGAACCCCGGAATGAGGAAAAAAATGCAAGATTGTTCCTGTTAAAGACGCAACGTATGCCCGCGAAAAGCTCTGCACCAGTATCGTAGAGGTCATTGTTCGAATTGCAGCAAACGAAAGTATCTAAAACGTCTACCATCCTCGAAAAAGCTATTCCAGTAATACTTTTTCGAACAAAACAAAAGAATTACCACAATTAATCAAACCACAATTACCAAATTGCCTATTTGTAGAGAGTTACATGCATGTTTATTTGTTGCTGCTGCCGGAAGAGTTCCTGAACTTTCTTGATTTACTGATACTCAACAATTTCATTCAATGTTAATTCAAGCACAAAGAAAAATAACAACAACAACAACAAATCCAAGACTTGAAGAGGTGTTTCAGTTAAATATCAAGTGTAACGGTTTTGTTGGTGTCAGCAGCAAAAAGCGCTATTGTAAGACTGGAGGACACTGAGTGCAGAGGACGAGCATAAACTGCGTCGGGATTAGCTCAGTCGGTAGAAAAAAGCTTGACAGCAGAGCGGGAGGCCGTTTGGGTTAGATTCCTGGGGCCGGACCAATACTAAGGGTTTAAAAAAAGGTCAGTGCCTTTGTCCTAGCTGCAAACGGCTAGACCTTCTCTTACCGCCCTCGGATGAACACGTATAAAATGAAGTCCCGTTTCCAGTGAGTAGGAGACGCAAAAATAGTGTCCCCTGCCAAGTATACTTTCGTGCTAAATACATTGACACTGAAATAAAGTGACTGTATTTTTTTTTAATTCACCCCTCTCAGTCATTATTCTCTGGACATCATCTTGCTTTCACCTAATCTGGATATAAATCGAGAGTAGCCAATTTTGTCAGTTTCTGTATATTTGATTTCAATTGAAAGCTGTAACGTAAATTAAATTGCGTATCAGTCCTTTCTGAGTAATACATCCAGAATCGCATATCAAACAAGCTTTTAGATCCGCAAGAAATGACCCATCTCCTCCTGTCAAAAGTCAAATAAGAGGTCGCATTAGCGGCAGGACACGCAATACCTTCCGGGTTATCCATCCGTCCTTTTTTCCTTTTTTTCTCGACGGAGAAAGCTCACATGCTATGCACAGGCGAGAAAATCCCCGTGTATTAAAGACCCTCTACCCTTTACCCTCGCCTCATCAGTAAAGAGTCTTTGATACGCGGAGATTTTTCCCGTTCATTCACCCGACGGCTAGGCCATGCTGATGAGCCCCAATAAGGGCGAAACAGCTGTCCATGGCTGCCACTGCCCGGGTAATATGGCTGCGCGCATGCGTGAGTTACTGGCTAGGCGGTGGGTTGGTGTATGTGTGCCCCTTGCTTTAAGTTTGTCTTACAAAAGATATGCAAAAGTAAGGTTTACATGAAGCATTACCCAAACGTCATTTTAAGGAATATTACCGGTATGGTATTTTCCGCAATGGTTTACTTGGAGCCTCCATATGTGCTGTACCCTTGAGTCAACCCATACCCATAAAGAATTATTTTTAGAACAGGCTTTCCCGCGAAATTAATGTGTTTTCGAGGACGTCCGCATATTTCTGTAGTGAAAAAATGGCGACGAAAGAGGGAAATTGGCCGACAAGTTTACTCCTTGTTCCATCACCGTAGCTCCTGCCTCTCTTCCTTCCCTTACAACCGAGGAAAGCTGGTTTCGAGTTAATATAAATAATATGTAATCTGGCTTAAAAATATTGCTATACCGTAAACTGCCGCCCATAAGCCCTGGGCTTATACAAGTTCGTAAGGGGTTTTGGGTGGGCTTATAAATAAGCTTTTGTACATTATGCTAGCATATTTTCGAGCATTTTAGTGAGGCAAAAGCATTCAGCATTATTCTCGAGAGCATTTTAGTGGCATTTTGCCCGGAAAATTAATTTTTCCGAGAAAATAAAATAGAAATTAACTTTTTTCAGGAGCCCATGCCCCATGAGCTCCTGCTTTTTTAAACAAAATTAAGACTAAAACTCAAAATTCACAAAAAACCTAATACAGCTGGTTTTTTTGGCTGAATTTATGAACTTGTACACGTTGTCGTTGTTACTTGCAACACTTGCACGTTTTTGTAAGTGTAAACTTTGAAATTAATTTAAAAAACCGTTTGTATAATGAGCATTAACCGAGCATTTTAGTGACTTTTTTGGGGAGACCGAGCATTTTAGTAGGAAAAATGGAGCATTAAGGTGGAGCATTTTAGTAGGGAAGCAAAAGCATAATGTACAAAAGCCTACTTATAAAGGGGGAAGGTTATATCCGGATGGGCTTATAAGCGGACGAAAATAAAAAACGTTTCGCAATGAGCAACAGCCTTGTTGATCGACGTATGATTTAAATTGATTACTCTTACAATTGAAGCCTTAAAAAGGCAGCAATAAATCGAATTCAGTTAAATTTCAAAACAAAATCAAAACTGTAACTGGGGCTTATATCCGGATGGGCTTATAATCGGATGTATTTTTTTGTTTGCATATAAGATTCTTTAGATCAGTGGAGATTTGGAGATTGTTTTTGTTTGATTCACCATTCTAACATTGCCCATATGCACCTACCATCTTCTTTAGCCTCCCTCCCCCACCCCCCTCTCCTCCTCCCCCGGTGAAATTGGAAACAATGGTCGTGTTGAACAAGGTGTATTAAGGGCAATGTGACAATGGTGAATGTGTTTTCAAAAGGGATTTTTTTCCCTCTTTAAATCACGCAACCCCTTGACCAGAGGGTGAATGGAAGGCTCCTAAAGTTATAAAGTAGAGATTTAAGGATTTCTTTGTTTCAGTTGGTTGAAAAGTTTGTTGCTTTAGCCTTGTATTTGTTGCTTTAGCCTTGTATTTGTAGCTTTGGTTACTAACGTCGTGGTCGATTCTGATTCGATTCGTGAGTAAGAAAATAAATGAACTTGTCCGTCTCATAAAAAGATGAAGTTTCTACCTGAAGAGTGTGACCGGCTTGCATTAAACGAGGTGGGTATCATAAATCACCTTGACCAAAATTCAATCCAGTGCACGTATATTCTAAATTAGTAGTATTTACTAACATCTGCACTAAAATTAAATTCACTGAATATATATTCGCAGTATACAGTTTATTTAAGATCCAAGTAAGTTACATCCCTGGCAACCACGTTTTATTTTTATCACCTGAAATCAGTCTTCACTTCTATTCAGCAATCTCATGTTATTTTGTCGCTAGTATGAGAGTCTGAGTTATATTCCATACGAATATCATCAATTATTAATGTCACTCATGCTGATAATATAACAGGAATAATTCTTCCTTTGTTTTAATACAGCGCGAGATATTCTCTTCACGCTGCCGTATGCCAGTGTTTCTAGGATCATACAGCAAACGAAAAAGCAAAATTTTACTAATACATCAGAATAATGATTATATAATATAAATTATTATCTAATTTTACGGTGGCTTTTTCTAGTTTCTATTTTAATTTATTTTATTTTTTCTTGTTTCAGTCTCATTTGGCAAGGTAAGGCGCTTAATGTCATTTGCGAACGGAAAAAAAAACAGTTAGTGAGAAACTGAATAGCAAAATTTAAAAAAAATAATAAATTAAAAAACCTGTACATTTGTATTTGTTCGAGTGACACAACATTTTAGATTTGTGTAGCCTGTTCTTGATAATTAGCCAAAAAGCTTCTCACTACACTTAACAGTCAATCGGCTTGTTCAGGGGGAAGCTCGTTTTACTTAAACTAAGCGACTATTTGTGAAAGACCGAGTATATATAGTCGCGCGAGTAGAAATCGACGGAGGCATGTTTACCGTATCAACTGCTATTTGTTTTGAGGTACTTGAGAAGTTAACCTGTTCAGTTTTCCCGGCACTTCATCATCTTTCTGTAAAGATTAATCGGAATAAATAGAACTTGTGCTGAGCGCCGAACCATTAGAGTCCATTTGATCGGTGCTTGCTCTTCTCCCAAGGTGAAACTGATCTAGTAGCCATTCAAGCCGGAGTTTATCCCCACTCAGCTTTCTCTCGTACTGCCCTTTTAAAACCCTCTTAAGGTCCTTCTTCTCGTTTTTAAACCTGTTCTCAATTTCGAGCTTCTCGTGGTCGAATTTTAATTTCAATGTTCGCATTTCCAAGGAAAAGCACTTTTCCAGCTGTTCTTTTTGATATTTCAAAACAGAGATGTCGTGCTCGTAACCTTGTATTTCCGACTCGAATTTCAACCTCTGTTGTTGAAGCATTCTGCGAAATTCCACCTCGAACTTACGTCTGATGTCTTCCTTTTCTTTAATAAAGCCCTTTTCCATGTCCGACTTTTCTCTTCTAAAAATGTTCATTAAATCGTTCTTTTGCTGTTTGAACCTCTGTTCCATGTCAATGATTTCCAACGCGAACTGGTGCTCAACTAACTTGTGCTTATTGGCGTAGTGAGAATGCATTTTGGTCTTCTCTTGTTTGAGCGATTTCAACAGCTCCTCTTTATCCAGGCTCATTTCGGCATCTGATATACTTTTAAAGTGCATATCAACCTCTGGTTGCTCGTGATTATAGAGGGTCTCGAGATGCGCGTTCTCCTCGAAGTAAACATTCTCCAGATCGCCCAAGCCCTGCGACAATGTCCGCCTCAGCTCATTTTTTACTTCCTCGATTCCCTCAAGCTCTTTGCGAATCTTCGCTTCCATTTCAGCCTTTTCGGCTTTAAATCCCTCCTCTTTCTCCCTTAAAAGTCGCTCAAATTGCGCTCTTAATTCCTTCTTCTCTTTGATGTAATTGTCAAGAAGAGTCTGTTTTTCACGATCCCATGATTTTATCAATGCAGATTTCTCGTCTTCGAAAGACAACTTCAAAACATGTCTCGATTCCTGAAATTCCAAGCGGATGTTGTCTTTCTCTTTTAAGAAATTCTGTCGCATTTCTTCTTTCTCGCATTCAAAGGCTTTTCTCATGTTTTCCTTTTCCACTTCAAAAGCTAAACGCATATCATTTTTCTCGTCTTCGTGGGCGCGATCAACAATCTCTCTCTCCTGCAGAAATCCTCGAACAATTTCCGCCTTCTCCTCAAGGAACCTTCTTTCTATATCAGATCCATCGATCATAGCTAGATTTTCCTCCGAATTTCGTGAACAGTCGCTTTCCATGGTCTTGATTTTATTAACCTAAGAGCGCGTTGTTGGCGAGATCAAAGCACATCACAGCTTACAATGCAATTTCCTGCCGAGCGATGACCCTTGGTCGAGTCATTTTATTTGGCGTGATGATAACCCAAGACCAATGCGTGCGCAGTTTGCTGACCGCGTTTTCAGTTAATGGGTGGGCACGTCAAGAGATTTTTTGGCTGAAATTAATGATCAAGTCTTGGAAAATTAACATTTCATTTCATGCTTCACGGGAAGCTGAGTTCAAGGAATTAATTAATGGAGTGTACTCAGCGATAAAAATACACTATCGCTTCACGGGGTTTTGGACTAAAACAAGATCTTGAAAACCGAATATCATGGAATATGCATATGCATGTGGATTAACAGCCTTGACGTTATCTAGCAAATCTCATTGGTTTTGACCATAAGAAGTCCTTGCTTCTGAAACAGCTGGCGATCAGAACCGAAACTAATCGATAATTTGCCCGATCGAAAAAACTTTTTTAGGCTAATTTGAGAAGCGGCGTTGATACGCGATGAGCCTTATAAAAACACTGATAGAAATTACCGTCGGTGAAGAATCGCACGATAACATACACCTTTGTTTTGAGAATGTTTGCAGCCTACTGTGACATCGAATCAGAAAGCGATAACCTTTTCTTAATCTGAAATCGGGTGTAATGGAGTCAGTCGAGTAGGCTGCGACGTTATTAATGACAGATGTCGTTGTCTTTTCATAAACCCGAATCTCCACTTTTCAAGGAAGGATATATTTCTTTGTTTTCAGTGTGTTTTCCGACGCCCGTCAAATGCTTTTGACTGATAGAACTGGTGTAATCTGTTTTTTCCTTGCTGGTACCTGACAAAATTAAAAGATATTTCGCTCGCGCCATGTGAGAGTCAAAATCAATGTTTTGAAAGCAGAGAACGCCGCAATGATCCACTTTTATCAAGTGTGTAACGTCTGACTCTTTTGCTTTGACGTCATGACATCTGTTCCCTCAAAGATCTAAAGCCTAACTGCCGGCCGTCAGTGTCATAGTTTGGTACTGACTCGGCAAACAAAAGAGAAAAAGGACTGCCTGATCGCTGGTTCGGCAAAACAACAGTCTGAAAAGACCAAGTGTCAAAAAAGTTTCATAAAGCATTTTCCGCTCATCGAAAAGAAGTGTTGTCAGAAGCCTTCAATTAATTGAAGGGCTGAGAAAAGACCCCAGAAAAACTGCACTATGGGTGGAATCAAGAGCTAGCTGCAGCACAGGGTATAAATCGAACCTCCATGTGCGACCAGTTCTCGTAAGCGACCGTCTCCCATAAGCGACCGCCAATCCACAACACCAAAATTTTCCCAGTCAAAGCCTTACAGTTGGAACCTCTTGTAAACTACCACCTCCTCGGTATATAAGCGACCGCAACCACTTTCTGAACCTGACGGTTAAAGATTTTCCATTGTTTTTAACCCCCTAAAAAAGCGACCACTTGACGCCGTTCTCTGATTTCTATTTTCGCTGTATGCCCTATCTTTAGAACATACCAAGAACTTTAGTGACAACGTGCAATTGCACATATTAAGTTTCACGCCATTCAAAATAGATCAAAATAAAACTCAAAACCATTCGACAGATAAAGTCCAGAATCTGGGAAATGAAAGGAGGTAAATATACAAAGATCCTCGCCAAGATTTGGGTCGAAGGAATAATTCGGTTACGAGATATCCGAGGAAATGTTTTACCCAAATTTATAGAGCTTTCATGGAGACGCCATGCTGGAGCTCATCCGCATGAGCTCCAACATGGCGGACGGAAACCAACAGAAACATCTGTTACCGAGTTTTGCTACAAAAGCGTGAATTTACTCCTCGAGGAACTCATAAACATTAAAGTAATACTTTTTCTAAGACTTGAACAGTTTTGATAGCAAAATTCCTCGAAAAAAGTCACTTTCATGACAGCTCCCTCGGCCGTCATGTAAATGCTGCGTCACGCAAAAGCTTCGAAATTCAAGCGTACTCTATTACAAAACCAAGAACCCTTTTGAAGCGAAAATTTGTTCGAAATTAGTTTTCAGATGCTCTAATACACCATGAAAGTAAAACAACAATGTGCCTGGACCTTTTCTAGGAAGAAACCCCCTGTAGTTCGATTCTTGTAAACTACACCTCTCATAAGCGACCACTCAGTCTTTGCATTTTGGTTGGTCGCTTACGGGAGGTTCGAGTGTAGATCTTAAATGATGTCTACAATAGGCATGTTTCAGGGCGCTGAAAAAGTCCAAAAGAGAACCAACTTTCGATTTTGGGTGTGGTCATTTAGGGTAGTACCTGGGTCAACCTATTTTTTCGTGGGAAATCTAGTGCCGCAAAGATTCTGGGAACGAGAATCCATTGTTGTGTGCAATGGCAGGCGTGATCATCGAAAATAAGGAGAAAATGGTAAAGTTTGTAGGCAAAACTTCCTGCAAATGGACTGTTCTATTACTACTATCAGTGGAAATATTACGTTCCTCGTTCTGTGGCATTTGTGGGCAAATTAATTCGCCGGTGTAGCTGCAAATCACTGGAATGTTGACCACGTTTTGCGCTATGTCCATGAAACCTCATCGTGGCTTTAGAATTTAATTAAAGGATTCGGCTTATGCTTACAGGTAAGCTTTTATTTATTTTCCCTTTATATATAAAGAACATCTTTAGTTATATTCTTTTAAGAAGAGTTTTCCTTGTCTGAAAGTTTAGTTTCAGTAAACATGGAATGTTTGTTTTCTTAATTAATTCAGTAAATTAACGGTCAGTATAAAACACAGACTGCGGACTCTTGTTTTCACCATGCAAATGAGCAGGTGACAACAATAGTCCCATTGTTTTTAAATCCTAAAAACAATAGTCCACAGTCAGTCCGCAGTCTGCATTTTACAAAACACTGCGCTGTAAATTAATGCTTGAAGCGGGAAATTTAAAGTGAAAGTGTTTTTCGCTTTAAACTCCTGAACTTTCATCAATCTTAAATTTGATATTGTTTGCAACTTTTCTATTTGTATGGAATTTCTGGGAATACACATTCATAAAATGAATATTACAGTCAAACCTCCATCTCTGACCACTTCGCTTGTATATGATCATCTCCATCATTTAACAACTAGTTCATGCATTAGTGTTGAGATATTGAATGCACGGGAAGTTAAGAGAGCACAAAAGAGAGTGTGAGAGTTGCTTGAGGCACAGCCGAGAGCATCTCTAGCCTCTTGAAATATGTACGGCTGACGCATGAACTAATTGTTTTATAACATGTAGCAGTTAATGTAAAATTTTATTATTGTAGCGCATGCTCAAGGAAGTGTGTGTCAATGTAATGTGTTACTTATAATAATTTGCAAATGGGGGGAGTCGCTTCATTGACAGGGAGGAGATATTAAGGCAAGGAAGGGGGAAGTAAAAGTTGAAGGTACAGAGGAGGTGCAAGGAGCAGCAAATATAATATTATTATGTTTTCATAATTATTCCTTTGGCCCATTTTTTGTCCAAGAACTACCATAGAAATTCATGCAGGAAATGAATGAAATTGAACCTGATCTGCTTCCTGAGGGTCGGAAAGGGGGTACTCTGGATTTCAAGTGATCAAGTGACAGGGATGATCAAATGGGAGCAAAAATCAAAACCCAAAAAAATCCCTTGGGATTCAAACAAAACCACCAAAAAATCCCTGCACCAAAATTTAACCCCCCAAAAATCCCATGCCGAATTTCCGAACCATAAAAATTTTCCAGAAAGCATTATATGATATAACACAAAAATAGAACCATTTAGTTTTGAATACCCAAAAAGTCCCATCTTAAATCAAGCTACCCGAAAAGATTCGTGCCAAAATGTTCCCACTTAAAAGCATCCCGAAATTGAAAATTTCAAACCCAGAAAAATCCTTCCATTGTTGCTGTCATTTGAATCTGGAGTAACCCCCCCCCCCCCCCCCCCCCCCCCCCCCCCCCCCACGACCAACAAACAAAACACGAATACACAAAACCGAAAAACGTGACCACAGAACACATTCAT